CTTTCACAACAGGCTAACTTTTTACCTGAACACTCTAGGATGTTGAGCAGCTTGCAAAGATTCAATGCCTCTTGCCTCTTAGGACCTCTTCCTTTAGTCCAGCTCAGGAAAGATGTTTTTAAAAGAAAAGGATAGCATTTTTGGCTTACTTAACTAATGCCCAGAAGAAACATAAATGTAACAAAACAGAATGGGTAGCTTAATAACCATATAGTCCTGCACACTGGGAAGCTTTTAGTGAGAAATTTCCTTTTAAAATGATACATTCAATGTATATAAAAATGAGATAAATGAGATAAAAATAACTTTATTTGAGAAAAAGGGAAAACAGGGGAAAAGAACCCAAGGGAAGACAATCATATAAAGAATTTTAAATGAAATCAAACTCAATTTAACTTAGATAAATTTTACTTATTTGAGCAACATCTTAAGTTTAATAGCACCTGCAGAGTTCATTCAGACCCTCTTTTGAAAGAGCATCTTAATATCTTCATTAAATGTATGTGAATCCTCCTACCAACATTAAATCAACTAGGAAAAGGACCATCTCACTTTTGATGGCTACTTATGGATCTGTCTCATTGGAGAGGCTAACCTGGCACCTTTGCTTTTCCTTCCCCTGCCTTCCCATTCTTTTAACTTTTAACCCACAATGATATATTGCTGTCAATTGTTTAATTTTATTTAAATTTCATGCTTATTTCATGTTTTTAATTAATCTGTTTTCTGGATGTCATCTACTCAGAATATACTGAATAGCAGGATACAAATTAAATCACTGTATTTACAACAATCCTGTAAGAAAGTCTGCTATTATCCTGTTTTGCAGGAGTGCAGGTAAAACTGAAATATAATAAATTACACCTGTCAAGTTCATGAAGTGACATTTTAGCATGGACTTTCCAATGGACTGTTTCACTGCAGCTAGGACATAGTGCTACCAGTGTATTTGCCCCAACCTGCTCATGCGAAAGAAAAGCTGTGCCATGAGTTAAGATATACTCAGGGCCCTTAAGATCTGTTAGATGTACACAAAACATCAAGAGTTCTAACACTTTTTTGTGTGCATTACAAGCTATAAGCCAGGGTAGTTTTGGAGCACATCACCCTCACATACTGATTCGTGAACAAGTTGGTTACACAGTGATTACAGCCCATCCTGTGTAGGAGCAGTTGCTTTGGCCATTAATGCCTGCCTCAGACGAGTTTGGTTGGGCATGATACCTTCACTTCCATTTGGCACTATATGACAAGTTTGCTTAGGCTGAGTCTCTGATTTAAGTCAGTGTCCAACAAAAGCAATTCATCTGAGTACTCTTTTATCTCCTTAAGGGTTACATCCCTTAGACATTTGTTCTTGATGGAAAACTCCTTCCAACACTCCTTTGCTGATCAAGAATGGAAAATTGGACTTATGATGAACTGTCCTTCTGAAAAGCAGAGGCTGGAGCCAACAGTCCCATCCTTCTTAGCAATTCTTCATTTGAGCTAGTGTGTTGGTTAGAGTACTGAACTGGAGGCCCAGGAGATTTGGGTTCTAGTCCCCACCATGAAGTTCACTGGGTGACTTTGGTCCAGCCACGGACACTCAGCCCAACTTACCTCACAGAGCTGTTGCCATGAAGGTAAAATGGAGCTATGTATGCCACCTTGGGTTCCTTCACAAAAGGAAACATGCTGGATATAACAACAACTCAAGGAGGGGGCACATGTGCATTTGGACAATTGCCCAAAAGGTAGATGGTGCTTCCACAGCCTCTATCCCAGAGTAAACAGCTTCTGGTCCTTCTGATGTTTTGACGTACAAATTCCATCATCCCTCACTGTTGATAATGATGGCTAGGGTAGATGGAAAGTTGTAGGTCACAACATCTGGAGGGCTACAAGTTGACCATCCAAGGAAAGCCAGTTTAAGGCTTTTTCTTTGTGAGGCATGGTGACAATGGAAGACTTGAAAAAGGAGATACTGCTGTAATACAATATGCACTAAATGAGAATAAAAATATCAAAGCACAATAACAGAGAAAGGAGAACTTTACTAAAGTGTGATTATGGTAAACTGCCTGGTGAGAAAGCAAAGGTTACAGACAAAATTGGGGGAATTATATTACACACATACATACAAATTGCAGGACAACAAGAGGAAAATTAATTCAAAAAAATTAATTCATCTTTCCTAATGAGGGGAGAAAATTTTGAATTCACTACTTAATTTTATACCAGTGCATGCACAAAATACAAGATTTTGCAAGAAAATGTCTGGAAGAATGACCAGTTATAGCAGAAAGTAAAGATTCTGGAAAAAAAACTGATTCAAGTCACCCCACCTAATAAGTAAGAACCCATAGTGCTGGATTGTTTAGGAGCTAACCAACCTAGCAGTTAACTTATAATTGGGTAAACTGATGGGTTTAGCTCTAAACAACTCAGCACTTTGTGGTTGTGATCATTCTCAACAACCCATGAACTAGCCAAATGTAAATTGATTAAAATTGGAAATGTCTGACATGCTGCAGGCAACAAGCATGCTTTCTCTTACTCATCCCCAATAGCCCATGGGTTCTTTATCCCATGGACTATTGCATGTGGCATGCAAACTGGCCCAGAGGTCTTGATCATACATAAAGTTAACCCCAGGACTTATTTAATCACTGGTTAATCTATAATTCATTGCCATATCTAGGATTTGTCTCATGGATAATCAAATAAACTTTCACTTGTTTTCCCTGTCTCCCTCGTGGCATGAAAATTGGCTTTTTTTGATTAATTGTTTCACCACTCTTGACACGCTGGGTTAAATGATCCATATTCACAAACCAAAATTTTCCTGCATTGTTCATAGTTAAGAAACCATACCTTGTGATCACAGCTATGTTCATACATCACAACATATCAGAAGTCAACAAATGATAACATGGATCAACATTATGTTCAATTCATACCATAATATTTGTGCATCTTTGAAATGTAATTGGCTAGTAGAATCTTATTCTGGAAAAGCTTCATTTTTGTTGCCTTTTAACTAAAGCCCACTCTGGGAAGGGGTGGGGAGACTGAGGCAGCCAAATCTCCTTCATTTTTGTTGTCCATGATGATATATGAACAAGGCCAATCAATCTTACAGACCATTTTTAGCATATCTGCTTGGAAAGCAAGATCCACCAAATCAACTGTGGTTTAATCACAAGCAAGTTCAGCACAGAACCTTAAGGGTGCTTAGAAGCAGTAACCAAATCTTGTTCCATTCTCTGGAATTGCCTCAAGGAAACTTCTCAGGATTATCCTTTCAATTTTTTAGGTTGTAAACATAAGCACGCGTTTCTCATAGCAAATCTGACTGTGTGCAGTGGGACTGCAAAACAAGTATATATCGAATAGCTCAATTAAAAGGTCACTAAAAACGTTTTATTTATTCCACAAGAAATTAGGGCATTTTATCTAGCTGTTCTTGATGCCATAATTATGCTGATTTCCTGTTTTTTTCTATTATCTCAGACTTTAATTAATTGCAAACCGTTTTAACAGTTCTACAGAAAAGACACTGTGTACATTTAAAAGTAAATAGTAATTTAGTAGAACTATGGGTCCACAATGTTTTATCTTGGTTGACTTATAACACCACTTTTTCCAAATGTCCTGTAGCATGCATAGAAAACTCTGGGGGAAGGAAGAGGTGTTTTTTCTGTCTCAACACTAGGCTTTTTCTGGAGCAAGTCACTGTTTTTCCCTTTTGTAAAAGCCCAGTGGGGAAAGGAAAGAAAACACCATCTTTATCCCTCAAGTTCTCCATGAATTACACAGAACTCAAAAAAAGAGGGTGTCATCTCAACATTTCACTTAGTCGACACTGTTGTGTGCCTTGCTTGTACAATATTATCTTTCATTATGCCTTCAATATCCTTAATATAAATGTTATATAGTCAACGTACATCTCACAAAATATATAGTTAGCCAGGTCACTCTGTGGTTACCATGGGTTTGATTTACATTAGCAAAAACCGGTTTGCTAAACAGCAGCAGGAAGTAGCAGAAAACATTTTCACTAAGAAAAACTAAAAGCAGGTGTTGGCTAGACTGAGGGTGTAGCAACGTGGCTAAGTAGTTTCTAACCTGCAGAAGATACAAGAACAGAATAACAGAACATTTTTAAAGAAAGAAAACTATGTTCGAAAATCTGAGGGTCAACAAGTGCCTAGGGGCTAGGACAGTCCTCCCACATTCTTATAGTACTGATAAATGTATGAACTTTGTACAACAGCTATTTAAACTCAAGTTTTGCCAATGATCGTCGTTGTCCCTATCACAGAAGTCAAACGAAACCTTTTTCGAAAAGTAGCTCATACGCTTCCTACACCAGGTGTAGAAATTCTACACCTGAGGATGTTATACTTTAAACGAAAAAAACAGGATGAGTTATGGCTCAGTACTGCCACTAGTACAAAAGCAGTGTTTATACAGCTGTATTTCATTATGGCTTATAATATACGGGGGCGGGAGCGATTGCCCGCTTCCAACAGCGCTCGCACGAGGATTATTCTCTACATAGAGACACCACCAGCAACTACAGTCTGCCCTGTATCCTCTACCCAGCTCCCATTTGCGCGACTAAGGGTCAGCGGCGCAGCCGGCGCAGGGGAAGGCTCTCTCCCGGCCTCGCTCGCATGCGATTTCAAACACAATACACAGAAATACACGGGGCTGGCTGCCTTCTCCTTCTCCACTATCACCAGGCGGGGGCCCGGGTTTAGACGAGTTCACCCAACCGCAGCGGCCGGTAGGTGAGGCACACGCTGCAGCGCGCCAACACCGCAGGGAGGAAGGTAAACCGGGGGTGAAGGAGGAAGGGTAGCGCCTGTCAGTCAGTCAGTCAGTCAGAAAAAGGAAAGGCAGCCCTGACGAAGGCTCTGAGGGGACGCGACGGCTGCAGGAATTCCAGCGCCCAACGGAGCCCCCAACAATTCTCCCCCCACCGCAATGTGCCGACTGGGCGGGTCTCTTACCTGACGGCGTGGCTCCGAATACTCTCACCACGGGAACCTTCTTGACTGGGGCCTCTCTGAAGTGGGACTGGCAGGGGTCCAGGCCGGGTAGAGGTCTGCTCATGTAGTAATCGGCGGTCACGACCCTCATTGAGAACATGTTCGCTATTGCGAAAAGAGGTGCCCGCTGGGGGCGACCGCCGGGCGCACCCCGAGGCTGGGGCTTCCCCCCACCCCGCCTCTTCAGGCAGCAGCTGCCGCCGCCACAGCCACCCCGCCGCAGCTCGAGCGCAACCCCCTCCTCTTTTCCTCACCCGCCTGCCGTGCGCTCGCTCCCGCGCATGGACGAGCGGACCGCCCGCGGGGGGGCGGGGAGAGGAAGGAAGGGTCCACCGTGTGCGCGTGTGAGTGCGCGCGCGCTCACAAGCGACAACAACTTGGGCAGAGCTCTAGAAGCAGGCAAATCGTGTGCACTTCATAGTCCAAAACTGCCCTTTCCCTTGAGAGCGGCAGCACCTTAACAGTAGTTTCTGGACTGCAGCTGTTGTTGCCATGATGATGACGTCACGGACCCAACCACCTTCGCTGGGTGACGGAAGGGGAGTGGTGTCGGTTGAGAAGCGCGGGGCGGGTTGGTTTTCTCCTCCTTGTCTCAGCTTCAGCGCGAGAATGCCCTTTACTTTTCCATCTTTTTAAACTCTCCCTTAAACTGACTGGTACTATCGATAGCTCGGCGCTCGGCCTTTCGGAGCTGGGGAGGGTGGAGAACACCGAGTAGCGAGATGGGTGGAGAGGCTTGGATTGGCGTGTTATGATTAGGCTCCATGTTTAGCCGCCATTTCGGAAGCAGAACCGTCTGGCTAAGAAAAGGTGAGTCGTTTGGAGAGAGGGGTGGTGGTGGTTAAAGCGAAACCTCGTGCCGCTAACCCGAGCTGCAGAGGCGGGGAAGGCGGGAGTGAGTAGGGGCCCGTCCAAGGTAACGGGTCGTGCGCGCGCCTGCGCGCGCTCTTTCCCCTCCCTCCTAAATGTCCGGCCGAAGGAGGAGAGAGATGAATGGAGAGCAGGGCGCAACCTATCAAAAGGGCGCTGGTCGCGAAGCGTGCGATGGGGGAGGCGCGGCTGGCGCGCGCGCGCTGCGGTAGAAGAAACCGTCGCGCTGTTCCCTCCCAGCCCGCCTTCCTCGGTGGCCGCCGAGGAAGAGCTCAGAACGGCTTCAGACTCTTGGGCCGCTCCTGCGCTCGCTGGGGCTTTGTCAAGAACCCTCGCTTTGTGTAAGCGGTACGCCGGCGATGGCGAGGTTTATGAAATCTCAGTCGGTTTACTAAAAGATCCGTTGACCTGTCTGAGATGCGACGAATCTATTGCTGATATTCCGTGTCTGTCTCGCGCGCGCGCAAAAAGTCAGAGAAGTGTGTGCGCATCTATGTCTACGCCCGCGTGCTTCCATGCGGAAGATTAGATGAATTCAGGGAGGATGAGGCTATCCACAGCAACTAGGTTGGATGACGATAGCTGACTTCCAGAATCAGAAGCTCTGTATCTCTCAGTATCAATAACTGGGGAAATAAGGGTGTGCAGATGATATTACACTCTTGTGCCTCCCTATGAATCTTGACATGGAAGTCAGTAGATGTAAACTCTGCTCCCAAAACATGTATAACTGTAGTCCCCCCTCCATAAGTCTACTGTTTTCTTCAAGGGGAAGGCCTGTGTTCCTGATTCTTTATATCAATTACATATGACATTCTCTATATGACATTCTCTGTATCAATTAAATATATGACATATGTTTTAATTTAATATACAAAATGCCAGTAATGATCTACTGTTGCCAATGCAGCTATCATTTCTGTTTTAACATTTAAGTAAATTTCACAACAATGAATATTGTGCACCATATTATTTGTGATAGTATTTCTGTAGATTGTGAAAGTTGGATGATTCTTTGGGAGAAAGGAGTGCTAGAATCATTAGAGCAAGTGACAAAAGAGTTGACATTTTATGTAAGAAAGTTGTGAGAGTTATTTTATTTAGTTATGTGTGCTCTTATTGATTTACAGGCAGCAAATGTGCAGTATCATAAAGAGTACAGTACTATAGCAACTTTGAAACTAGATGCTGACTGCCAAAAAATAGTAATGCATGGAAGGGATGGAAAGTTACCTTACATTAACAATGAGCTACACAAAGCAAGGAATGATGCCTTTGAGAACGTAGGAGAGTTACAAGAAAATGATAACAACCCAGGGTCATTGAAAGATCTACTCTCCCATCTTCCAAATGCCATTGAACTAAGTGCCAAGTATTTCAGTCAAAGGAGGGACAAAAATACTTTTGAGGGTGACAATGCAATATCCATAATGAAACAATACAGACAGGCTTTGTTTAGAAAATCAGTTTCTGAAAATCTGTCTTATCATATATTCCAATAGACAGATGATCTAGAGACTCAGAATTGTAATTTTATTGTAACTGCGTCAAATTTATTCAAAATAATGTTCTGCGATTATCAGAACCTTTGCTTTTCTATCCCCAGAAGTCAATTCTGTTTACTGGAACACTTTCTTGATACTCCATTCCTCTTGTGTGGAATAAATGTGAGAAAGGAGTTGGGCAAACATGTTTACTGTTTCCCAGTTCATCTGGGTGTTGGTGTACAAGTTTGAAGAGATTTTGCTTCACAAATGCTTATCATTGGATTGTTCCATTTCCTCTTCAGTGCATCTTACGCTGAAGTATATAAATTTTGTCCATTTGCTGGGATCAGTGGAACATGTGATGCTTTATCCCAAGGCAGTTTTCACAGTGGATAGGTAATGATGTTTAGAATAGTATAGCAACAATGGATGGGCATAATACTCCATGATACAGGAGTTATCCCCTGCTCTTCTGGAATTGAAAAGCAAGTTAGCTATACCTTTTACAAGCTATGGTATATTTTGGATAAACAATACTTTTTAAACCTAGAATATGCCACTCTTGATAGCATGTATGATTTCATTAGGCACTGCATGACATTTCAAACCATAAATTCGATCAAGTGTGAAAATTTCTAGACCTCCTGGTCCCAAGAAGTGAAGCTTCCTGGTGATTGAGGAGAACCCTAGATCCATTTGAAGAAGTGCACTGCAGTCTGTGATGATTAATGTATAATGCACGTATTAGTCTTTAAGGCGCTACAGTACACATGGTTGTTTTGCTGAAACAATCTAAAGGTGCAATCCTGTGCATACTTACTCAGAGGTAAGTGCCACTGTATTCACTGGTGATTGATTCCATCTTAGTGTGCATGGGATCCTGGGCCAGAATAACTACCCTCTGAATCCAGCAATATGGAATAAGGATCATGTAGGAAAAGCTGGAATTCACTGGCCCTGGAGAAAATCTTTTAAACTCTGGTCTAACCTCAGAAGTAGTAGTTCTGGCCAACTATAACAGATAAATTATAAATACTATAAACAGAGCCAGTGTGGTGTAGTGGTTAAGAGCATGGAACTGGGACCCAGGAGATCTGGGTTCTAGTCCCCGCTCAGCCATGGAGCCAACTGGGTGACTTTGGGCCAGTCACAGACTCTCAGCCCAACCTACCTCACAGGGTTGTTGTTGTGGGGATAAGATGGAGGAGGAGAGATGATATAAGCTGCCTTGAGCCCTTTGTAGGAAAAAGGCAGGATATAAATTGAAAAATAAATAAATAAATAATTTATTCTCCCCTCTTTTATAGGTGGTTGTATAAAGGGAAAACCTCCACACTTCTGTACAGAGTGAGGCATTTTCTATTCTTTCCCACCAGATAGATAGCTTAATAGACTGACTTTTCCATAGTGTAGCCATCTTAATCTTTTGGAACAAAAATAAGTCTGATTCTTCTAACAAATACAGAAAACCTTATTTAGTAGCTTTGGATTATATGTTGCTAGCCTTGCAGAGGCTTTTGTGTTCCTGTGTGTTGAGTTATCCCCATTAATATTAACATGGGCATTTGTCTATGCTCAGAGTTTTGTCTATTGGGCTGTTTAGAAATAAAATTATTAATAGTACAATTGTCCTACAATAATAACAAATTTTAAAAAGAAAAATGTATTTGAGGAGGCCTAGTATCTGCTATGATCATGTAATTTTAAATTTATGAAAGTTGATATTTAGTGTAACCAAGTTTTAGTATTTTAAACATTTTTATTTCCATTTAAACGCTTCCTCAACATTTTCTCCTTTGTTTAATCCTCTCAAGTACAGTTGGCAAGAGCTCCTATGAGCAAGGCTAAATTCTGAGACTCTTCTTGCCTTGTCATTAACTAGTCTCATCTTTATGTTTTGTTACCAAATATCGTTGCCTTGAATTTTTTCAGAGGCAAGGAATCTTCCATGCTAGATTTTTAATTCACATTTGAACACAGGATTCTTGTGAATTCTCTTAGACCAAAGCTTAAATCAGTCTGAAGCTATTTATTCCATCCAGTAAATTAGTTCCAACAGAATCAGAAAGGGAATGATTTTTCCTGTAGCATCTTGCTTACCCTGTAAATATAATTTTTGGAGGGTGGGGGCATGGAGAAGGCCACAATCTTTCTACATTTGTGGACCTCTCAAATTTACATTAGAGAGTTGGGGCATCTTCAGAGCATTATGGGAAGTGGGCATGTGGGGAAGGAATTGGCAGAAAAATTGCCTTCTCAATTTGCTGACAGAAATCTCCACAGAATGGTGGATAGGATGGGATATATAGAAGGCTCTTTATCAGCAGAGAAATATCAGGGTATTCCATACATTTTTACATTAGCTTCCTCTGTGTGTATTCAGTTCCAAACATAAGTGAACTCCTAGGCCATTGTTCACATAGAAATTTCAAAGAAGGATTCAAAAGTCCTGTTCAGGTTGTGCCCTAAAACCAGAAACTTCTATCCTTTGCCCTTCATAACCTCTAATATGGAAACATATAAATGGAACATAATAACTATAATAAATTCTGTTGCTAAGCAACACTTTAGTCCCCAGTAGTTAGCTGAAAATTTGGTACCAGTACTTCATTCAGTAAAATAAAATTAAATAACTGTATCTTAAATGTATGTATTTAGACAGGTTTTTAGTCATTTGGCTCTCCAAAATGACATCTAGAGCTACCTATAATATTACAAACAGATAGGCTACATACTAAAAATACTAGACACAAGAAAGCAATGTAATTCAGCATATAAGAATGGGCATCATTCATACTTTCATATAGTGGGCATCAGTAGGAAATTTGGGTGCAAGAGCCATGGATTTTGCCTGTCTCTTCCAAAAACCCAAGAAGACATGGACAACATTAATTTCTACGTTTTTGAGTAGATAAATAGGTGCTACTTCAGTGGGGAGGAAACAGTGCCCTGTGATGTCATGCTGGCCACATGCCCATGGGAATGTCTTGGGACAGCGCTGGTTTGCGGCCTTTGAAATGGAGATGAAAATCCACAGGGACTCTCTTCCTTATTAACTGATCAGTCAACCCCACAGTTTAGTGTCCATATACCATGTTTCTAACTTTTCTGGTAACTCTTACAAGATGTTATTTTAATTAATTGTTCAGTACATTTCTGTACCACTCATAGCTGAAGCTCATTGGGCAGTTCACAACATTTAAGTGTCCCATCCAGATATCAACCAGTCCCAACCCTGCTTAGCTTTCAAGATTAGGCAGGATCAGCCACTGAAGAACTTGAATGATAGAGCGAATTTCCTTACTACATGTTACATATACACACACATACAGACTATATATATTACATATGTTCTTGTTGCATAGTTCCTAGGTTCTACTCTTTTGCTGCACACTTGATATTCTCTAATTAAAAAAATAAAAGCTGGTGGCAGAGTGAAGTACTAAGAAGTAACAATTATTTTCTTATTTTCAGGTCCTCTTTCATCTTTCTTGTCAGACATATTAATGAAGCTCCATTCAAGGAACTGCAAGACCATTAAAGAAAGATCGAAGCATATCAAAGAATGAGTCTTTACAGCAATAACTGTTTAACATTACCATTTCTAATTTAGACTTCTTTGGAGTCTGCATTTATAGTTATAAGATAACTGCTAGAATGTGATTGCCATCCACAGAAAATAAAACTTGCTTTAAGGCTGCAGTCTTGAGCACATTAACCCAGGAGTAAGCCCCAGTGAACTTTGTGGAACTTACTTCTGGATAGACATGTATAGGATTCCTCTGTAAGTCAAGTTGAAAGCAGAGTAATTTAAAGTGATAGTTAAGGATGATACTGTTGTTGATTTTGTCCCCACTGAAAGAATGATAAATTGCTAATACAAATATATTTGAGAACTACATCAGGCATGCAAACAAAGATGCCTTGATAATTGGCTCTATAATGAAACTATTATGTGAGTGCACAGTTAACACTATAAGCTCAGAAGTAGTCGTAGTTTAATTTTGTGACTAAGTAAATAGATATAATGTTTTTCAGTGGTACCAGGATGGCAGAACTGGCCCTGGGTTTCTCAATTTGCATGGTTGTTTGCCCTGGCACTCCCTTCCAGAGTAAGTGTAAAAGAGGGGATTTGTTTGCTCTGCATGACTCATTGTGAGTGGGCCACTTAAAACTGAACCTTTGACCTAGTTCACATGACATGGCCAAGTGGGTTATTTAACTCATGATGGGCTGCAAAGCATATGTCATCATTTTCAGTAACCCCAGTTACCACCCAGAGAGTCCTGCTTGGGCTATTGGGTGTGGTTTCATAAATCAAATAAATCACAACTTTTGTCATACAAACTTCACTATCAAGGATTATTTGAGAGTTAAACTACCTTGGCATAATCTTCCATTAGTAGTACAATTATGTGAGGGCTGTTTAACCCTCAGAGCAGGATAGCCAAGCTCACACAACATGGCACAAGCCAGTATCACCTTGATTGGGTGCTGCATGTTTAAAATGGAAGCTGCATGCACCTGGAACATGCCACAGCTGGTATCATTTATGCTACTTGAGAGTCACATGATGATTCTAAGAGAACCTCCATACTACAAAGTGGGGAACATAAACCATCCAGATTGAACACCCTCTATCCAGCAAACCACCTACTGAACTCCCTCTGTCCGGAAGAGCCACCCACTCAGCATTTTGAACTTGTCTGGATTGTGCTTCAGTTTATTAGGCCACATCCAGTCCACTATTATAATTAGACCCAGATCTACCACATTAAAATGAAGTAGAGCTGCTTAACCTTGGAAACCCCTCAGTAGTTTCATGTAAATACTATCCTGTGGGACAAACCAAGCATCATTCATGAGGCTGAGCAATATCTCCAAACACTACCTTCTGCAGCCGGTCATCTAGACTTCTGTAGCTGACTAGAAGTAAAACTAGAGCAAGCAATAATCTCCATCTTTGCTCAAACAGTTGCCCCAGAAAAATACTATGGTCAGTGGTTGAAAAGAGGCCAAAAACTAAGGAAAACCAACAGGGTCACATTCTCCCTGTCTCCCCCCCCCCCATACAGGTGATGGAACAGGACAGCCAATCCTGTTTTCATCACTGGCAAAGCTTTACCAGACGAAGATGATAGGAAGAGGGTGTGCTTTTGGTATAAGCCACATCATTTTGGGCCATTTGTAATGAGTGGGGTAAAATCAATGCCATTTACTAAGGGAATTGATGCCCTTTTCCTGCATAGTACATACTTGCCATATATCTTCTATGTGGAAGATAAAATAGGGGAGAACAGTCAGATGAGTAAAATGTCAAGAGTTTTTGTTTTTTGTACACCATTCCGAAGCCATCAAATTGCAATTTAAATTAGTGTCTATACAAAGCACGGTAACAGCCACAAATCTGCAGTTTGCCAGCCTGCTGTGGGAAATAAAATGTTGCTCTGTTGACCATTTTTAGTTCTGGGAATGAGTAAGCAAGGACTCAACAACTAATGAACATCACTTCTCAGTAACAGAGCAAATGCAAATTTGATCCTCTGCATGTGTGTCCTCACTTCAACTTGCAGTCTTCACAGATCTGTAAAGGATTATAACTCTTGCTATAACAAGACCAATGTGAGTGACTATTTTTAGAACTGAACAGACTCCTTATTTAGCCTTGATAGAACAGAAAGGATTGTTTTGCACAACTTCGTGAAAAAAATTTGTAACATTTCCAATTATAACATTTAGCATTGTGGAATCTCTACTTCAAGAAACTATCAGAAGAACTAACTAAGAAAATCAAGCTGAATTAATTCCAGATGTAATTATAGCCTTTTCTAGAATTTTAGCAGACTAAATCTGGCTCTCTACTTGTTAACCACTCCCATGAAATAAAATAACACATAATTAAGAGGACTATTGTATAGCTAGAAGAACCATTGATTAAGATCCAGGCCATTCGTGTTACTTTGTACAAGTTAATTTAAGAATGGGGCTCTCTACATCCCAAAAGGATAGGTGGACTTTTAGGGTTGTATGCACATTTGACAATGTGAGAAACTGTCTTGGGCACCACCACAAATGGCTGCTAACATGGGAGGCAAAGTAAAGGGCAAGTGACCTGGCTAAAAGTTTTGCGTATACTTCTCAGCACACTAAACTCCTTTAAACTCGGTTTCCAGTAATAACAAAAGTCCCAGCTTTACTGCACAGTTCCTGATTGGCTCCTTTGTAGGTTGTGCAACATGATGAGTGAACCTGCATCATTGGATTGTGTGCAGATTAAACAACTTGGTGGCTAACCCAACAACACACTATGTCTTTAAACTGATGGAGTGTGGCCATGTAGGTTGTGTTCATATATAATACTAACCCATGCATTGTTGGATTGTGCACTGTTGTATGAACTCAACCACACTAGCAAAGCATCAACCAGTTTATTAACCAGATAATCCAGAAAGAAAACTTATGGTTGGTTGTTGGGTTGTGCACTCTGGGTTGTTTAAAGCATGTATTTTCATTAGGTTTGAACTCAGAATTCTGCATTGTTCATAGGTTGTTTTGTCACGCTACAGGGATGACAGGTAAAAGTGATTACTCCTCCGTACACACAAAGTCACTCTATTACTAGTACTACATTTTCACAAATTGGGAATGTCTGCTAGACAACATGGCTTAACTGTGAGTTAAAATTATGTACAAACCAGATCAAAAGCATCTGTTAATTTTTTTTTTTAAATGCCACTTTGCATGTGGTAGGCAGTGCCCTATATTGGGACTTGTTGGGATTTGATAAGTCAGAAGTGTTTAGGGGATGAAAATGAGCATGTAGTTAATATTGGTTTGCAAAATGAAGCACTTTTAATGAATTTACTACTCTGATCAGCTTGCTTTGCATCCAGTGATGCCTGTGAGATTTAGTGTTTCATCCACTGGCAAATGAGAAAAGTCATTATGCATATTTATCACATGATCCACTTCATTAGACAAATGGATCTGGGAGAATAAGCTATCCTCCTAGAAGACTCTTCAGAGCTCCCACACAAACTGTTTACTGATGTATATTCTTCCTTAGTGAGGGAAACAATGAATTTCTTTATAGTGGAATGAATGATTCAGGAAGTTCATTCTCTCCTATCCTTATTCACAAGTACAGAGAGGAAGCACCCAAAGATAGTCTCACAATGAAGCTACAGAGACCTTGTAAAGCTTTAAGTAAGAAAGGATAAATCAATGGAAGCTAGCTGTTAGCCAAAGCTGCCTCATTTGTACTTGTGTAGCTGCCATATAATGTTGTAGTGTTCATGCAGAACTTTGGCTGTGACTGGGGTTTATAAGCTGTGCTTGATAGAAAATAGTTTCTTATGTGTATAGACATGAGGTCAGTCATATTTTCATATGATTCAGCTGGAAGCACATGGTCTTTTTTTTACAGCATATTCTAGAATTTATTAAATGTTTCTAAAGTATTATTGTGTGAGTGGTCTTGTTTCTTCAAAATGAACAAAATCTCTTGGTTTATTCATGTCCATTATATCTACTGCTTTCTTTAACTAGTCCTGAAATTCTGAGGATTTACAATGTGTGGCATAGTGACTGGTATGCAAAGGTTTAGCATAGCACTTCATAGAGACCTGTTACCCTTTCCCCTTCTATAGTTAGAATACCTTTGCCACTCCCACCCCACAACAGTTGGAAGAACAGTGTTTTTCCAATTTCTTGCAAAAGTTATTCTACAATAAATCAGTTCATTTAACATTCTGTGTTAGGAAAGGTGAATTTTTAGTATCATTTGATAAAATTCATTGTGTTATAAAACCTGGACATGATAGCTTATTGAGATCTTGCCAGCTGTTTTTATCCTCCCTTTTTTTCAGAGATTTTGAATTTCTCACAAGCCATATACAGCCAGAATAACCCAACCCTGGCAGATTTAATAGTCAGGGTTAAGATGTAGTGTTTCCAGAAAAAACAGAATTATACTAAGTAGATATCTTACTGTATTTTCTGTTCTTGAGAAATTTGTTTCTTCAGCCCAAATCTCCTGGCCATACCGTGCTTACAGGCCCTTAGAGGTCAATCCCCATGAATAATCTTAGTACAATGTGGCAGAGAGTGTTGTATTCTAGGGGTGTTTACACACTGGAGCCTTTTAGTGCTGCCAAAGCATTGCTTTTCCACAGTTAGCTGGAAGTGAAATTAAAATGAAGGTTCTATACAAGCAAAGTATTCAACAGTCTATCCCAGGGGCCAAAATCTTCCTATAATGTCTACTCACAAATATGTGCTGTTCAGTAAAGATTTCCATCAACAATGATCTTAACACATATTAAGCAAATCTTGGTAGATTTGTCTTCCCTTTTTATTGGCACCATTTATATGTTGTACTGTAACAAAGTACTCTGGGCAGCTTACAATAAATAAATACAAAATAAGCCATATAACAAAAGCAGTATACAATACAGCAGCAGAAAATACAAATTAGAGCAACACTGGACTATTGATTGTAGTATTCAGAAATCTGGAATGTCTAAAAGAGTGTGTGTGGGGTGGGAGAATGAATTCATATAGATTACAGCATCTGCCCTCTCCAGTACTCAAGCCTCTGTTGGCAACTCACTAAGTTTCTGGAAGGTCACAGCTAGGAGAGACTACTCATCTATGTCTCAGTAAAGCAAGCCAGGGTTTATTGCTTTTTATTGATCTTTACTTGATGAACTGCTTATTAGTTGCCTCTTGAACAGGTTCTGTTAATTGCCTTAGTCCGTTTCAGGTCCCATTTAGAAAGGGAGACTTTATTGATTTCCTCTCATTAAAAAAATACTGATGTGTACTACAGTAGTAATTATAATTTTTAGTCAAAATTGGGAGTGAAAATGGTATGAAATTTTATGTCTGCAAAGGATCTGTAACCATTTAGCTACCATAAGGTATGGCTGAATCAAAATCTGTCAGTTTTGTGTTTGTTTATTGCATTTGTGTGCTGCCCAAAAGCCAAAGGCTCTCTGGGCGGCTCTGCACAGGTTATATGTGCTGCTTCTTCAGTTGTCCTTTCTAGTCATTCCTTTAGTCCCCTCACATCCAGTTTTCTCAGGCATTATTGGTCATTGAGCTGTTTTGAGTACTTGGAATTTTGGCTAAATATTTTTAAGGTGACCTCAGGATTATGCCAAGTTTGCTGCTAGTTCTTTCTTGTGAATGGGTGTTGCCATTTGGGCTACATAAGGTGAAAATTAAGCTTATAAGATCATACTTAGAGGACTGAATTGGAAATAAGTGGGGTTAGTAACCATGGCTTGGTTGAAATGATCATGGTGATGATGGTGAAGTTCCAAACAAGTAGATCAGCTATTCTCTCTGGAATAGAAAGACTGGAATGATGAAGACATTATGGCAACAGCTGTGTTTAGGCACAGTTGTAAGGATAAAACTCAGCTGTGATCACAGCATAATGGAAAACATCAAGTTCAGATGCTAATTATCATGATGACAATTACGGTGGAGGCAAAGGAGCAACATAACAAGCCAGATTGTTGATCTTGTTTAAACACAGTTTTGTTGTGCGCTTTTAGCAAAAGTTACTTTTATAAACATATTTAGACAATTTAAGAAAATTAGAAGTTGTCCATCTAGATTAGCATTGTCTACATTTAGTGGTAGTGGCTTTCCAGAATTTCAGAGAGGAGCCTTTCCCAGCCTGATCTGGAGATGGCAGGGAGTGAACTTAGAATCTTCACATGCAAAACATGAGCCACAGTAAAGAGTACATGCCTTGTTTTTTCAGCTCTAAACTGCAGCTAATCTTAGTTGTCCATTCTTTGGCTGTACAAATGCCTTACATAACCAGTGTGGCTTCACTGCAATTCAAAAGCACTTTGAGCACTGTGCATAGAAAGTAACACAGGCATGCTAAGGGATTAACAAAGGTTTGCTTTTGCTTTTCTACTTTTCTGATCAAGGGATCTTTGCAAAAGCAGCTGGTGGGGCAGGATCCACCATCAGTGTGTCTACTCTAGATGAACTATCCTAAAGCCTAATCCGGTGTGACTTGAAAAAACTGGGTGACTGTTCCCCTTAACTGATTAAATACTGCACTCCCCAACTGCCAGTGATGCAATCTATACATACAAAGTATTTTGTTATTGTGCTCTGTGCCTTTTAATAATTTCAAAACAATAGAACCCAAGGCAACTTGTTATTTGCATGCTTGCTTATAGCAAAAGAATAATCTTTCAATAGTCTCTGCCTGGTGATCAGAGCAGCAGAAACAATAGCACAAATGCAGCTGCTTCAGTAAACTTTGCTCAACTGTTTTATCTGAGCACATTAATGTTTACTTTCAGTTGTAAGTCAAACCTACTTTGTCCTTTTAATGATAGATTGATTAAAAGAGGCTAGTTTCTGCCTGTTGCTATGGTAAACTTGTTGGACAACAGTATAGAGCTTCGTTTCTTTTAAAACCCAGGTATTCGCCCAACTTTCATTAATGTAGACATGTGATAAATTATAGTAATTATCTTTCCCCTTCAACAGTGTCTTGTTTGTGTATTACACAGCTACAAACTATTTCTCTGTTTGAACTTTGCAGTGGTTACTAGCAGTCATTCCTGATCTCTGTTTTAGCCTCAGCCCTGCTAATTCAAGATAAGCAACACTAGACCTTTAACAAGAGACCTTTTTCAATTAAACTGCTCTTTTGAGTAAAGCTCTCACGTTTATCTTGCTGTGCATATAGTCCTAATACTTGGGTTTTTTTAAAATGGCACCAGAGCCTAAAAATAGAGAAGCAGTTTTTGTCTCAGATGACAGCTTTCACCTAGGAACTAATAGCACCTTTTGGGGGCCCAATTTTCAGTAGGAGCAGACTGGTGGGAGGGGACTGGCAACCCATCCTTTCCTGTATGCTGTAGCCCCAGTCCTGCTCCTTTCCCCTGCAGCTTTTTTTTCTATTGATAAGAAATAAAAAATGTTAACTTCCTACCCAGCTGGAAAAGGCCAGTTATTGCATTTATGACAGCATAGTCACAATCTGTTTCCATAGAGCATTTTTACACAAAAGTCTTTTCGTTTGGAGCTAGTGTAGTGCAGAGGAAGTGACTGTCTCTGATAGGGCTCTTGGGCAGTGGGAATGCACGCTACAGTGTTGTCTCATGCCTCAATGCTTGAATAGTCCCCATGTCTACCATTTCATCTCTCTGCTGTGAGCTAAAACTATAGTCATACTTGCTATAGGAAGGTCTAGATTCATTCTCAAAATATGAAAACAGTGAGCCTGGTGCAGAACAGAATAAACAATTTGTAGTATAAAGGAAATATGGTATATACTTTTAAAATCATAAACCATTTTAAAGCATGTGCTGACCTCTCCCATTGAAATAAATGGGACTAAAATATGCATACCCCTTGTCTGGTTCAATTACTGACCAGTTTAAAAATAACAGATTAATACTAATCATAGTGAGAATATTTCTCCCATTTAACAGGAGGGAATTATCACATGTTTCACAGTGACTGCACTAGACACTGTTGAGGTGGAGGATTATTGTTGCAGGCCAAAGCTGCAGAGTGACAGATGAATATAAGAGCCAGCAGGGCAATAACAAGGGAAGGACAGCTAGAGCAGCACCCACCAGACAAACAGCTGCTAAATGGCACACAGGCCCGGCACAGGTTGATGATAAAGGTGCCCATCCTAGTTCCTGCCATCTACTCTTTGTCACCAGCTGATGCAGAATCCTCTGATTTATACAACGTGGGCCATGGTAGTGGAGAAATGCATGACACAGTGATGATATGTCACTGGATAAGAGATCCTACATGTTACATGAAAGAAGGAGCCATCTGTCAAGTGTGACTTGTAACTCTATCCTAAGAGGGAGGAGGCAGTAGGAAATTCAGAAAGAGTGGCGGGGTGGGCAGAGAGAATGGACTTGTGCTGATGCTGCCCAAAGCTAACATAATTATATGCCATGGTTGCAGCAGCAGTAAAATTCTTAAGTTTAAAAAAGCTGAACACTGTGCCATATCCAAAGCAAATAGTAACCTTGGGGTTCAAGTTTGTGTTTAACCAAAATGAAAGTATTAAACCCTCATAATTTGCTGTACAGTGATAAAGATGACAGTCCACATGAAAGACAACTCATTTATTGTGTACATGAAATGACTGTGGGAGACCATTATACAATGCAATAACATCTGGCTGACAACAAAAGGAACCCTGAGCAAACATAGGGATGTAATTGTTTTGCTTATTTCAGCATCATTTACAGTATTTACTTGCTCTGCCGCAGCCTTAGAAAGCAAGTTGCTTGAAACACATGAAAATGATGGGACATTCTTTCCATTTGCAGTTTGTTTAAACATTGAGTGAGAAGCAGTGTGCCTGCTCAGTTGCAGAGGAAACATTCGGGATAAAAGAAAACACATGGGCTTGCATTATCCCAAGACAATTCTATTAGCAGGGGGAGGGGAGGAAAAAAGAGTGCACATGCTTTTCATCACCCAGAAGAGGAAGCCAGGAAAATCCTGGCAGACTGCCAACAGAGGCATAGAACAATTGCTTCGTGTGCACTTTAATATACGTTCATAATGGCACAACCTGCAGAGTGGGCAAAGGTCCTATTGGAGGAGCAACGTATTCCTCTTCTCTCAGCAACCGCAACAGTATGTTCTTTTTATTACGGGGCCAATTGTAGATGTGAGTGTTCTGAAGCCAGGTAGGTACGTGTTCCTGTGGAGAAGTGGGGAGGAGGAAGGGCAGGAGAGGAGACATTTAAATCCCTTTATTTCTGTGTTGTAGCTTTTCAGAAGCATGCAGGCATTACAAGGATAGACTTGTCTATGAAGCCTCCTCCCTTATCTTTCTGAATACACAGCCAGCAATTAGTCATGCCTTGGATTCTCTCTTTGAGTTCGTTGTGTAATATACATACATACATCATTGTAGAAATCACTTACATGAAACACATTTGTCAGCACGTTGTGGCATTAACCATCAAGCCACCTAGGAAGGCCTTGGTAGTTATAGGCCACCTATAAATACACATATGCATGCATCCATGTAGACATCTTTTTCATTGACATTGGCCACACATACTTCCAAAATATGCCTGTCAGTCCTAACACTGAAGTACAACGTACACACGCATAGAAAGAATGTGCAAAGCCCCTTGGAAGTCACAAGGCACCAGTAGAGGTGCCAAGGTTTAGCAACAGCAAGGATCCTTTTGTATGTGGTTCTTCAGCACATCAGACCTGGGTGGATTGATGCTGACAAGCAGATGCAAACTGGCTGACCCATCTCGGATTCTGGGAGTGCCTGTACCCTCATCTTTAATTTGGGAGGAATGGAACTTGTTTCCTGCATTTTTCTACGTACTGTTCTAGGATGGGGGAGAGGGACGTGCCAAAGGTAGCCTGCTTTCTTCCTCTTAAAGCTGATGTGACATTACCACACCAGTCCACAAATTCTTGCACACAACAGCAGGGTGTAGGATATTATTGGCTATAAGGAACTTTCCATGCTGTTGGGTGTGGGTGGAGTAGGATATTAGAATATACTGCAAATTTAGAAGGGATGCCCAAGTTAAAGATTTTAAGAAAACGGGAAAATGATGGGCAAAAATCCAGCCAAAATCAATCAGTTTCAGTGGAAGAGATAAGTCTAGGCTTAGTTTTTTCCTCTTGTCCCAGCCTTGCTGAAGATAGCAGGATGAAAGAACATATCTCACTTCAGGCAGATTGTGTTCAGTGAGGTTTAAGAAAAGAGCTTTAAGCATATGCCTAACTTTCCCACGGCAGATCAATGAGAAACAGAAGTGCTTTAATTATTAGTGCCACATCCATGTTTAGTGACTGATTTCATACACCCTATGAGAATCCAAATGTTTTAAGTAACTTTAAATTATTTATATGCAGAGGGTACAACTTGATGGAACTGATTTTGTCAGTTGTCACCCTTTGACAAAACACCTCTTTAGAAAGGGAGAAATGGAATATCTGCTTTATCAAAGACTACAGCTGTCCAAACAACAAATCATAGGTTAATTCCAGATTGCTTAACCCCTAAACAACCCAATAATCTACAAAATTATGTGACCATTGTTAATTTGAGATGATAAGTTTGTCAGAGGGAGCTCTCTCTCTTGCTAGATTTTGGCAACTTGTAGATTCATTAAGCCATGATTGCTATGAGTGAGCCAGGTCAGTGTCAAGTATAGAAAACTCCTTTCCTGTTCCCAGTGTTAGAGCCCCTCCCTTTTAATGGTCTTACTTCAGGGGACACCCAGTACCCATTAGCTCCCAGTAAGTTTGCAGAAAACAGGGACTATTTCTACTTTTTCCAGTATTAGATCCCATCACTGTTGAGATAAAATAGTAAAGTATTATTTTAAATAACTTCAATTTATACTTTGCTTAAATAGTGTTATGTTTCATATACATTGACACAAAATGTTTTAGTTGATGCTTGATTCAACGTATACTTTCAAAAAATGCTGTAAAATGTAAAAAAAAAAAAAAACAGGAGTAGGCAACAGCTCCCATCAGCACTTGTCTGCAGATCAGTTGTGAAGGATGGTAGGATGAAGCTGTTATCCACTCCTGTTCTAAAATAGGGCTTCGGGCACCAAGATAATTTTATTTAACATTCAGAAAAGGCTTTTGAAAGCTTGTATTGTGACTTGGGTTTTCATCAAAAATACTGATTCAGTAAGTTTTGATTTTACCTTTTTTGCATTTGGAAAAAGTACAGGAATGAATCTGAAATTCATGCTTCCTTGCTGTATAAACTCAATCTGCATCTAGAAAATTAGAAATAAAATAACCCCAAATGAATTGTCAGAATTAAATGCTTTTTGTTTCAAACAATTCCCATGTAGCAATAGACTTCCACAAATAGGTCCGCTGTACCAGATTTCCTCAACTCAACAGTAGCACAGCAAAATACACATATTCAAATATATTTGTGTGTACACCTCTCCTGGATTATGAATGGCACAGGCATCAGGACAGCAAGTGCTTGTTCTTGGCATTGGATCAAACACTAAAAGCCTACATTGATCAGGATCAAGTGGTCTCAGATCTGGCAGTGCCAGTCATCTCTTTGGAAGTGGGGAAACAGAGTGTAGTTTCCCTTTTATCCCCAAGGTAACCCAGGTGCACGTGTGCTGTAGTGTGGTAAGCAATCCACTGGTGCACATTCTTTTCCAAAGAATCTTAAGTAGAAAAATACATATTTTCACACCTGCTATATATGTTACAAAAGAATCCCTAAAGATGTTTGTTGGCATTAAAAAAGAAAATTGAAAATCAGTTACGCAGTTAGTTGACAAGTAGCAAACTGTAGGGTTATAATTCGGAAATACACTGAGCTTTAGAACAGACTTGAGGGCTCCAAATCCATTTCTAATTTAATTGCAGAATGGATTTTCAGACCACCCTGATGTCTGATCAGATCAGAAATAAATCCAGATTAGTGATCATTTTAGTGAAACTCACAATGTGCCACATGTGCCCAGGAGCTTCCTAGGCTCTGGTGACTCTTGTGACACTAGGGATGTAAATGGGAACCACCCAGCCAGTCCCTGCTTCAGCAGAGTATTACTGGGGCAGGAAGCCTGGAATTTTCAGTTAATCTGAGGCAGCTTTTCCATAAAAACCTGCTAGCTTTTCTATAAAAACCTTTGAATATCTGTACATGAACCTATGGATCTGATACATCCACTTCTGGCTGAGATCCAAGGACTACAAAAGAGCATTTCCTGCCTTTCTACTACATACCTTCTAGCTAGTACTGTAGCAGAGCCAAATAACTCACACACACAAGAAGAAAGCACTTTCTGGAATCTTCACAGTTAAATGCTGCATTTTCCTAGCTTAAGAAACAAAACAAAACCTCACCAAAAGTGCTGCTAGGCACAAGTGAACCTGGAGGGTTATGATGTTGTCTGAAGAACCAGTAAACAACTTTGAATAGGGAAGGACAAGCACCGGATAAATCCTGTGTATAGGAAGCCTTTCAAGCACTGAGGATCATATTTTAAACAACGAAAATACTAATTTGAACTTGATTTAGATATTTGAGTCATCTTTTTTATTAATCTAAAGTTACCAATGACATTTAATCATCACTACAGTCTACCAGAAGTAATAGAATAGGAATGAGACCTACATATAGTCCAACACAGTGTTCTGTTGATGCAAAGCAATGCTACCAAAGCCTCACTTTACAGTTTGCATGGGAGAAACAGCTTTAGAAAAGCTCATCTTTTACAAGGTTTGAAACCACTCCTCTTCCTCCTCAGCAACACTCCTCACAGTATGATAGAGCTCTGTGCTTGTATACATTCAGTTGTGCTGCATAGAGACTTCCGATTAATCTGAACTGCTGGAAGCTCCCAGGACATGCCACTGTACTTATCTCCCATCAGCTTTGTGTAAGTGTATTAAATCTGATCAGAAGAACCTCCTGAAAGATTTCTCAAAATTGTTGGGAGCTGAATTTCTGTGGCAATGGGAAGACCATAGGGAGATGAGATCAAATGCACCGAGGAAAAGAATGCACTAACTCAGAGGCGGATGAAAATATACAAATGGGAATTTCTTTCCTTGTGTGCCTCATGCTTATTTTCACAAGTCTGACAGATTTACTGTTCTCCATGAGTTCCAGTGTCTAGCTGGAGTGACTCAATGTGAGGAATTGCAGGCATGAGATAAGCTCATACTCTGGGGCTTGAGAAAGGGTATGAAGGGATTTAAACAGGCTGCAAAACAATACAGTCAAGCACATTGATCTCAAGCAGAGCTTCTGAAGAATCCCAAGTAGCACTGCTTATAAAATGCATGCAGTACTAATAGGGAGCAGAGTTCTAATACCAGCAAAAGCAGCACTTAACTGCAGTTGTGACTGAAGACAAGACACAAAGGGCACTTATTTGGGAGAAGAGAAGCACTGACCTTTTTTAGAAATGGCAAGCACGTGTTCTCACTTACCATCCTGTGGATGTACTTAGTATGTAAGCCATGTTCATCCTTGTCCAGCTGGGATTCAGCCCCTTCAACATCCTGTTTGTATTTTGGACTGATTGCTATGATTATCATCACTGTCTTCTGTTGGGAAGAAAGACACTTTTAGTTTCAAAAAATGCAGTATGGTTGGGCAAAGCAGCTTGGAAATCTGCCAGTTTGTATTTTACGTGATCTGATGTTCTCTGGAAGACAATCCAGTTCATTTTGGCAGTGAAGCAATACTGGTCTCTGTACACTGTAGTTCCTCATGCCAGATTTCCTGGATCTCTCCACTAGTAAATTTTAACAAGAGCGGGAGAGAAGTAGTTCAGCACTTACCAGGTTGTCCTGCAAACTTGCCTAGACCAATAAAGCAAACCAATTCAAAAATGTTGCAAATATGTAAAAGCACCACCAGCATAGCAAGTTATCACTGTTTACTCGTGAAAACGCTATTCCTGTTCTACTAAAATGTAAACATTCTAGCCAGGGCTCTGTACACCCTATGTCTGAAAAGAATTTGAATAATATGCTAAAGTGAATCGAACATCTGTGAACCATATGAAATTATGCACATTATAGAACAACAACATGAAAATTATGCATGGTTATTAATGTACTTCATTGCAGCTGGTCACTGGAAGGCGTATGCAGCCACTGGAAAAGTTATATGCTACCATAGTCCCTTTTTCAAGAGGAGGCTTTTTGAGCTGCCTCATGCACAAGCTTAGTTCTGTGGTTAGGAGATCGAGAAACAAACCTGTGTTTTTTGAAACAATGAAAGTAGAGATTTTCCAGATTTAGGATTCTGCTCTCACTTTGAAGTTCTGCACTGGCACAACTTGTTGGTGAAGACACGCACCATGTTTTGCTTGGTTGTTTTCATTTTATATGGATACTGAGTTTGCATTCCTAAAATATTGACTGAGCACTATGCGCCAGGTGAATGCACCTCATCATGAAGTGCACGTCACACATCCATGCCGTGTTTAGTGGCGCTGGCATACAAGTGGTGCATGAAAGAGGGCAATGTGCAGGATAAAGGCTGCTGCTTTCATGTCGAGCACCACCAGGGGACAAAACAAGTTCAGTGTTTCGTGGGGGCCAGGCCTGGCATCAGCACACAACCGCTGCCAGCACCTGCCCTGGGAGGTACTTCAAAGCAGAGGTGAGCCATCTGTAGCACTGCAGATGTGTTGGCCCATCACTCCCAACATCTTGTACCATTGGCTATGCTGGTTCAGGATGACAGGCAGAAGAGGGCCACAGGTTGCCCAGTCCTCCTCTAAGGAATCCACAGGCACTCCAATCAATGTCAAATTGCTGCATCTGAAAGCTGCCCTTTTGTTTTCCCACAGTGAGCCAGCATGATGCGGTGGGCAATACAACTACTGATGTAAATTATGGTGCATGAGCTGGCATGTCAATTTTCCTGGGAAACTGGTGAGCCAGTTAATTAATTAAACATATTTCTTGGTTTTCTTTCAGGGCAGAAGTCCTCCCAAGGCAGTGAACTGTAATAAAACATGTAATGAAAATCAATACTATCTTAAAAATAAAATAAAATAACCCTATTGGCATTGAACCAGGGTAGCTGATGCTAATACAACATAATTTACATTACTGCTTGTGGCCTGTTGGAAACTGCTCTAGGCAAGGTCGTAATCAGAAATTAAAATGCCAGCCCCTGGACCTCTCTTGGGAGTCACCCAACACTGATGAAAGTGCCCATCACTTTTACCAGCATATATGGAAACCTGTTGAATCTGATATGAGCAGCAATTGTTCAACCAACTTTCGTTGCAAGTAAAGGCATCTCAGAACCAAGGTACTAGTAGCCTATGAAAACCAACATGTATCTTGTTTATCACAGCTACTGTTATAACAAAATTGCAGTCATGGCCTTATTCAAGGATACAAATGCTGTATGTAACACAAGACTTCAAGACGACCTCGCAGGAGAGAAAATCCAGCCTGCCCATGTTACGTTATGACCAGCAGTGTGTCATGATGACTGCTTGCTTTCATGTCCTCATTGTAATGATGTGTTAAGGAGATTCACAGAAGGAAAATCTCCTGTCCCTTCTACCATCTATGCAGCCATCTGTGCCTCCTCCCCACAAAATTTCTCCAGATAATTGGAAGAGCCTCTAGAGCAAAGTGAGAACGGACTTCAGGGTCTTCCAAGGAAAGGAGGGGATTGAAAGCTCCCCTCCCCCCTCCACTCTTGCTCCATAAACCTCCAGGTAACTTATTTTTGTGTCCAGGTCCAATACTGAGCAACTGGGCCCTGCTTCATCAGCTTGCATACCCCACTCAACATTGTTCTGGAGCATGCCCCCCCCCCCCCGCACCCTTCCAGATTTAATTTCTGAGAAGCACAGTGCGATAGAAGGGACAGGAAAGTATATTTCCACGAATTTCCTTAAGTTATTCTAGTCCTTATATTTATACTTGATTTCAAATCTCTACTTGTAATAAGCTCTGTTCATTTAGCTCAAATGGAAAGGCTTCTTAAATCAAACAGCCCTAAATTGCCTACAAAATGAAACAAAAAAGCCATAAAGCTCCCCCTTCCTTCTAGCATAAAATGGTTTGAAGGAATGATAAAGCTGAGCAAAACCACCCTATATTGCTCCATTCTTTTGGCCTAGTGCTGCATATTCAATGTTGTACTATATTCCACAGACTTATGCAAAACAGCATTGTGCTCAGTATCGGTATCTTGGTATGGGCAAACCAGAAAATAGCAGTGGGTTGATGCAAAGTACATAAAGTATGTACGTTCCTCTGGGTCTAAGCCCAAAATATAGAATGTGGTTTGTTCCTGCGTGGAATTAGGATGTTCTTATTTAGAAATGAAACACATACATTTTTTTTAAAAAGTTCTATATGGGTATTTTACTGGTATAAGAAAACCCAGTTTCCCTATCACAAAAGGATGAAATTTTATATTAGACATAAGTGGGGGCAGGGAGCCAAGGACAGGAAAAAACATGCATAATTAACCCACAAGGGGTGTGGGATAGCTTTCTATTTTAGTCCACAAATTCTTGAGAGGCAATCTAACAGTTTGCCTTGGAACCCCCTGTGTGGGAGAAAGCTCACACAGGATTCACATTTTGTCTTTACTTACATCACTTAGGTAACGTTCCATCCACTTGATGATGTCAATACCTCGAACTGTATCCTCAAATATATCAATCTATAAAAAAGTAAAGATGTTGATATGATTTCTTCAGTTCTCCAACTGTAGGCTAGGAGGCAACCTTGTCCATCATTTCAATGTGCTTTGTGCTGGATTTCCCTGATTTTCAAGTCTAAATGTTTTAGAGAGGGGGGTCACTGCTAACAAGAGGTCTTCAGGGGCCTCAGCTAATTGTACTGGCACCTGAGGCACTGTTATGAATAAGGAGCACAGGTGAGAGGAGGCTCTTGTCAGCTCCAAACGTGTTGTGTTGGTACCCTTTGAGCACCGCTTAACACCAAGCCTTCCAGTGTGCAAATCTGACAGATAGGGAAGCTGGCATTAAATTCAGAAGATGCATTTGTTGCAAGGCTATGACTTTTGACATGAAACCATGATACAGAGCTTAAGAGCCCTATTTGCTCATGAACACTTTGAGCGACCTTCAGCAACTCTCCTTCGCCCAAAATCTCTTGGAGCGAGATGTTTGTGACTCTGTAACAGGTCGCCAAGACTCACCCAGTGAGGTCATCCTCATACTCTGGCTGTAAACACCCAGCAGCTACATCTGAGGATACAGGTGGAATAGAGGCCTGCTTGGAAGGACCTGGAGCCAATAAGAGTAGGCTAGCACAGCTGGGGAAGACGGCAGCAGCAGGAGCAGAGTCAGGGCAGGGTCAGGGTCTCATCAAGAGGAGACTATTAAAGTCTGGGATGTAACAGCAGAAAAGGAGGTGGGGCTGGAAGGAAGAGAGGGAAATGTTGTATGCCGTAACAGAAGCAGGGAAGAAGCCTGCAGGTATCTCCAGACCTGGACTTAACACCTGTGTGGGAGCAGGGAAGAAGCCTGGAGTGCAGGGAGGCTGCTCCCATGGGGATGGGGAAGCCTTGTCACCATGAGGGCAGGCTCTTCAAAGAAAGGGTGTTGGGCTTTTTGTGGATGTAAAGCCAAGAGGAGGGGAAGGGAGGCGTAAGTCTTTACCCTGGGCAAGACTCTCCAAGCTGGCTGGGCCCCAGTGTGGTAACTGGAGGCAAAGATGCATAAATAAGGTCTGTGTTTACCTTGGAGTCTTGTGGATAGGGAGGCTATGGAAGGGACTGCGTTCAAGGAACCCCTCCCTGAGGGAGGCTGCATAAACTCCATGTGATGAACTAAATGCAAAGAATAATGCCTACTAACAATGTAATCCTGTGCACATTTTGCTGGAGCACGCACTAAACGTAGTGCAGCACGCATCCATGTAAATGCTGTTTTGTGGTGAAAGTGCTACAGGAGTCATCTTTGATTCCAAAGAATTGTCAGTACAACCATTTTCTACTTAATGCCCTCTTAAAATGGTCAATGGAATTTCAAATATACACTCTTTGGATAGACAATATTCAAGCCTTCCCACATAGAGCTGAACATAATATTCACCAGTGTAAACAGGGACACTAAAAACAAGGAATAGAACATGTACAGGTGCCACGGCATACATTCTGACTTGTTTCCCTTTGCTGCAGTTCACCAGACTAGAATGACATACTTACAGCAGTCTGAAATCCATTCACGAACAAGAACTTCACAAATTTCATGACCTCCACAGCTGCATCCACAGAATAGGTTATAAAGACCTTACCTAAAGAGATGATACAAATGTGAGCAGTTAAAATAGGCAGAGCTAGAAATAAAAAAGGTCCAATCTTTCTGATTTTATTTGCAGAGATCCAACAAGAAGCTCTGCCTTGTTTCATGTTTATTGTTTATATCAGTTCTTCTCAACATGGTGCCTTCCTGATGCATTGGGCTGCAATGGCCATGCTGGCTGAGAGTCACAGTCCAAGCCCAACACACTGGGAAAGCACCACACTGGGGAAGGTTAGTCTGGAGATATAATTTCTCCAAATTCAGTATTCTAATCTTCTAATGATTATGTCTCTAAATTGCATGGCATTCAATTAGGAATGGACAAATCACTTTAATTACACTAAAGGTTAGTTCTGCATGTGTTCATATATCTGTTCCATCTGGCTTCTGGAGTAATCATTTTTAAATCCTGCATGAATAAATATGTGTTCAAATATAAATTGCTAAATTTTATATTATGCACAAAATATGTATTTTATCACAATATAAACATTTCTATATGTATTATCCTAACGTATGCATTCTGGGACAATTGGAAAGCATTCTCTAGTTCAGCATTCCCAATGCATTGACATGCATGCCACAGTTTTGACTGCAGCTTCAGATGGCCATAACAACAGCACTAAACTTTCTGCTAAACTGCTGTGCCGAGACTGAACTAGAGTCACCATGATAAGCAGGGCAGGATGCACTGCAAGAAAGACTGTGGTCAGGGCACACAGGGTCCTATGACCCTGCCAGGAGGTTGGCCTAAGTAGTTGCCTTCTACCAATTGCATGAGTCTAAACAAAACAATTAGAACAGAACAAAAAACCGTACGCAGTTCTTCTGGCAGATTGCTTGTCTTCAGCGTTCCTCTGAGTGCAGAATTACTCAGAGGTCTTGGAATGGCAGCTGCTCCCACTGGACTGTCAGCTGGAGCCCTGGAATCAGGAGGATCCCCGGACATGCTCTCATTGGCACTGTAGACCTCCGATGAGACTTCTCTGTCAAGTAGCCGATTTTGAAACTGCCCACTAGGAAGGAAATAGCAAGCCATCAAATGTTAAAAGTGGATATTTCTAAAGACATCAGGGTCTATTTTGAACCATAAGGTGTTAGTTTTTGCTTTGTTAATAAGTTTCAGCATCAAGACAAGATATAAAGGGAAAAATCTGGGTGCGGGGAGGGAACAGAAAAATTCCTTCATGTTTTCCAGAAATTAAGTCTGTTCTTTTTGGAAAATTTGGAAGATTTTTTTTTCTGTGAAACTAAAAAAAGAAGCCACAATGAAGGAATGCACCCTATTAGGAAACTCTTGGTAGCTGAGGATATTAAGAAGAAAGGGGGAATAGGCAGGAAGTGAGAGAAGTTGAAGTACAGGAGCATGACACAAGATCTGTTTTGTTTCACTGAAAAAAGTTGTAGTAGGCAGGAAAAGAAAGTTATAAAGAAGGAAATGCAGACAGTAATGAAGAACATAGAGTGGGTGAGAAGAACTGAGGTTGCCTGGGTTGCAGAAAGACATTGGCCTGCGTGGCAGAGATGACAGATGATGGACCAATGCCACCAAAACAGGAAATGCCAAGTCCGAAGATGCTGATACAGATACAGAGAGCAAGATATTCTCTAGCCTGCATTTTGTCTGAGATTCCTTGCATCTAACACATGCCAAGCAAAACATCTCATCAAATTCAAAACTAAGAACGACTAAAATAAAAATCTTTTGCCACACTGGAATTGAAACAATTAAATGAATCACTTCTCACTGAGTGAGTGCTCTCTCTTTCTTTTTCGCTTGTAATATGTACAATAAGCTCCAACTTAAGGACAAACTTACTAGAATCTCTGAAATTCTGCAGAAAAGGGTTCTCTTGGGTGAAGCCTTTCTTCGTTATATTTGGGAGAATAATTTGGGATTACTTGCCGAGCAGAATGTAAGAGTCTCACACCAGGACTAGGAACAGGAAGCTGTAGCTGAGGCGAATGTGCAAACTGTTGGTATGGTGCTTGCCCATCTAAGAAGAAAATTTAAAAAAGAAAGCTATTGCCTAGTTGACTCAACACTGCACAACAGATTTTTAATAGGATATATATATAGTGCCTGGGATATTACACAGAGCTAAGCATAATTAAGCCCATTGGAATCTACAGGCTTAAGCATGCCATTTTGTGTTGGAAAATGGTCTGTGTCATCTTAAATAAAATTTCTGCTGCCCTGTAGGTGGTAAGCATTTGACTGCAGGCTTATGGGTAGCTTCACCATTCAAATTATGGGAAAAGATACACCATATATTAAATGCAAAAACAAATCCACAGGGCACTTAATAGTATTTTACTTCACCTGGGCAGAAATGGCAACTTTGGAACTCGGAGAATGTTGGCAACCAAGACATTTGGGACTCAAGCCCAGACTGTTCAAAAATAAACTTAAAACCTTAAGTACTGGAGGTCTTTTAAAACCTGCACATTGCAATCATGTTTCCCTCTGCAACAAACTGTTCTGTTTTATAAATTAAAACTTTATAAATTAAAACAACCAAACTAAACACTGGCTCCTATTAATTTCAGTGACTGAATTTTAAGGGCATGCTTAATGGCACCATTGATATCAATAGTTTTTTAAAGGGCACAATCCTATGCACGTTCAGACAGAAACAGAGACTTTATCTGTCTGAAAATACATGTGACTGCATTTATATTTCCGATGACTTCACTACAGTTTTAGATTTTAAGAAAATACTGGGGATACCACCCAGCCGAGTTAAGTGCTTTTCAGTCTGATTTAATGGGAGAAAGAAACAGTATTATTCCTCTATGCTAATTTATAAGGGATATTTTATTCTTTGGACTGATTACTGAAAGCTCCTTTGATTATGATTAGAGAGAGACGGGGTATTAGTGCTGAGAGCAAATAAACTAACTTTTAAAATAAGCATGTATACTAGTACAGCAGATGTCCTTACTTTGACTATTTATTCACTGAAATGAATGAGTTCTAAGCCACTGTACATTTACTCCAACATACCCTAAAAACGTTGCAAAGCTTATGCAAAAACTGGAAGCACTGGAAATACTACACCTCCAACCCTTGATGCTTACTCTTGTGAGAGTAACAGCTGATTTCTCTCCCACTCACACCCAGCCATCGCATAACTATAATTTTTATACCAGCATGTACCCACACAAGGAAGCACGCATACAGGCACACACATTCACACACAGTGCACATGGCAATAACGATATTTCTGGCCAAAGAAGTATTATTCAAAGAATGTCTTTGAAGTGCGATGGTGAATCCATTATGAATATCAGAGAGCAGCTACCCACAGCTAGGTAGCTATCTGGGGGCTCGGCATACTAGATTGTTTCTTTCTAGAAGGCACACATTAGAACACACTAAGTGCAAACCCTATTGTGTGCATGATTGCCCAGTAATCACTGGAAAAGTGAAAAGCTGTCAGAACACAATTTTATGCCTTGTAGATGCTGGGAACTTAGCAAGCAAAATACTGCCTCCAGGTTTGAACAAATCAGATAGTTGTGGGGGTAGGGGAATGATAGGGAGAAAGAGCCTTTTGAAATATTACTCAAGTCAGAAAGTGGTCCATGGTTTAAAGAAAGCTTTGTTAGAGGGTTGCTATTAAACCAGTATGTACCGAGAAAAATAAAATGTAGTGAGAGCCACTGTACATGATTTTGAATCTGACAAGGTGAGTAACTTTTTCTTCGTGTTCCAGGTTTCTCTGTTTAGAATTGGGAGGAAAGAAAAGGAACAGGAGGTTAAGTCTGTTCTGATGCTGGCTCAGACTCCCACAGATAAAAAAAAAAATCCTGCCCAATAATATTGGTCCAGCTTAAGGATCCCTGGACATAATAGAATTTCCTTTTGTTCATATCTTTTCACACATGCTTGCCTGAATTTGCAATTATCCTAGCAGAAGTATATCAGTTGACTCTCCTGTTCATTTTCATTATTGAGATAGTAAAGTTTCACCTGCCCATCTGTGCAAGAATAGGGCCATGAATGCAAATGGCAACTGACTGCAGACAGAAGTGGCATGCAATGAATGGAATGCTTTCTGGTATCTGCTTTTTGGATCATATTAGGACAATCCCAAAACAAACCCAGAACCTCTTTGATGACAACACTCCAGCTATGGTGTGACTGGCCTTTGGTAGCTGGGTTTTAGGTGGCCAGTCAATTTTTTTCAAAAAAAAATTCACCAGGCTTTTAATAGATTCTAGTTTCAAGTTCATGTCATTGTCCTTAGCTCTGATTGTATTAGATCTGTGATTTTATTGTAGTGAAGGCCTTGGGATCAGTTCACAACTAAAAGGCAGTGCACAAATGTTTCCATAAACAAATACTATTTATCATCCAAATAGTAATCACATAGCAGAACTGTGACAGTCCCTAATCACATAGCAGTCCCTGTGAACAGCTCAAGAAGCCATGAGAACCCCATGTAGGATGAAGCATGGGAGGCAGCTGAGAAGTGGAAAAAATCAGTTTTGCTGGGAGTTGATCAAAGTCAACCTGTTCTGTGAGCTCTAAAAGATAAAGGCCATGATGGGAAAGGAAGAGATGCCATTCTACAGAATTAATTAATCTGCAATGCCATCCATGGCTGAATATGCACACAAATACCCGTATTTTCAATCCTTAGGAAAAAGGCCAGCCATGCTCATGCAACATCCACTTCATCAGTGCTCTCTTCAGCACAGCACAGCACAGCACGGAATATCAGCTCTATGTCACATAAACAGTTGTCTCAGTGCAGATGTTGAGCCCAGGAACAATCACAGATACAGCACGTGCTCCCACAAAAGGAAAAAAAAAAACCCATAGTTGAATGGGTAAAACTATTGTAAGTCATCCTGAGGTGCCATGCATAAGGGACGGCATACAAAAGTTTTAAATAAATAAAACTATCTTGCCACAAAGTGATGCACAGCGAGGTGTTGCTATGGACTTAATAACAACCATAGATTAGTAACAAGGAATAAAACTGATTAATTTCCCAAGTGTGGGCAGAAAGAGCAAGGAAAAAGGAAAAACCTGTGGAGGTGACCTGTGAAGAAAGGAAAGGACATATTTTTAGAACAGGAAGTTCTAGCAAAGAAAGGCAACTCTGAAAGCATCAAATTTGTGGATTAGATTAAAAATAAAAACATTTTACTTGTGCAGCTGATTTACTGAACAGACTGCCAGTTTTCCTAATGAGCTCACTGTTATAGCTAAGAACTGTAGTCATAAAAAGAATGGCATCATATACTGAAAACCAACAACTGATCGTGGTTTTTACACTGAATATTATTTTACACTGAATATTATTCTGCAATTGACACAGTCCTTAGCAAAACGGGGGTGGGCAGAACCTGAAATGCCCAATAAACTTACATGGATTCTGGTAGCACCTCTCTTCAGGAATGTAGTACCTAGGATGCCACTGGGCTTGTGGGGAAGCATTTGGGTGGGGTATTTGTGAACAACCAGGATATTGTCGTGGGTCGATCTGTGGAAATTCCCTGGACATCAAGGGCCTTGGAAGGTCCTGCAGGTTAAAGACAGATGTAAGGGGCAATGGAGGTTCTAGCTGTCTGACACACATAATATCCAGAGACTGAGAATCATATCCAATATCATTTGTTTGTACTTCCAGTGGTGTTCTGCTGTCCTGGGGCTGGTTTGGTTTTGCATTTTCCTGCCTTTCACCAAGATAATATTGGGAAAAGTCAGATAAATCCTTGTTCACACTGCTGGAACCGCATCCCATGCCAGGAGAAGCAGCTGTTGGTTGAGGCCTCAACAGATGGTTTGTTTTCTTTACAGATGAAACATGAAGTTCTGATGAGGATGTTGATCCATTAGATGGGAGAGAATGTCTTTCTCTTGTAGAATCTGGGTGTTTTTGTGGATCATTGTCTTCATACAGTTCAAAGACAGCATTATTGTGATTACGATGATGGTAAAAACATGATTGTCCAGCCATTGTGTGAGAAGTTGTTTGAGATGTGTAAGGTCCTATGGGGACTAGGTTCTCTATATTTTCACCAGAAGGATCCACAGCCCTTTCCAGTGAATGTTCTGGAAATGGCGACCAGTCTCCACTTTCATCAACTTCAACTGGTATACTTCGGCCCATCATGGTGTCTAAAAATTGAGGGAAAATATAATACAAAGTATCATTTTCTGATTTACTCCATGATGCATTTTATGTATAATTAAGTATGTGATTTAGGGATGGGATGAATAGGTGAAGCAGAAGGGTATGACTGTCAAAAACTGGCTGAGTTCACACAACATGTTAAACTCACCATGCACTGTGGTTAAAGCTCCTCTGTGCCTAAACAATGATGAGTCATAGAAGAGGTTGTGTCCCTTCTCCTCCCTCCTTTCCCCCTCAGCCCTCTTGCAGCATCCCAGATGTCCCCTGGCCCATAGCAAGCCATCGAGTGCTGGCTGCAGTCTGACGTTTTCAAAAAATGCTTCTGTGTTATCCACACTTGGGAAAATAAGAGCCACATGAGCCCAACACCCCTGTGAATTCTGCTGCAAGGATGCTTTCCACAAACACAAAGCTTTAAAAATAGGTTAAAATAGTCA